AGCTTCTAAGCATCCACTTACTTCAGATGTGGAGTGGGGGCACCTCTCCCTCCCCACAGGACACAATTTCTTCATAGCATCAACTCGCTTCAAACATTGTAGGGGAGTCCAAGCCTCTTCCTCTTTTTTTGGCTCCAAATCAGTTCAGTTCAGTCCTCAAAGGCCAGGTTTTTTTCCTCAGAGCAAGRWCACTCTCCTTTTTTTATACAGGTCACTCACTGATGAAATAGTCCTTTCAAGAACAACTTGTTTTCTTCATGTTCAAGAACCACAGCACAGCACAGCAACCCATCCGATCTTCTCCTTACTGTGATCTTGGGTCTCCATTTTTTCTTCCTACATCTCCTCACCCTCCTGCTCTGTTTTTCCCCCGTGCATGATACTAAAACTAAATACTAACAACCTAAAGACTACATGGCAGCTGCCCCTATCTTGTTTTGAATTCTTCTTAAGTACAAGACAATACATCATCATCATCACAGAGGTGTAACTAGCATGTGCAATTGGCCCAGGCCTGATGGGCAGCCTGCCCATCAACCTCAGAGCTATAATGGATTGGTTCTAAAACACAGGCGGTAGGGCTCCTTTTGCTGGAGAAGAAGGAGAAAGCTTCTAGAACTTCCTCACAAGAGCCATCTTTGTGGTTTCTTGGTCCCATCCCCCCACCACCAAAAATCAGACCAAGTAAAACCATGACAACAAGTAAGACAGCATTATACCATGATGCACAACACATAGCATCTACCTTTAATCTCTGCGAGAACCAATACTACAATATGTGTTTATCACACGCATAGCACTCATCTTAATATTTGCAAAGCCAACACTATAATATGTGTTTATAACAGACCCATGTTAACTTTATTCATAGATGAGAACTTTTTCAAAAACTTAGGGCTTTGCTTTTGCAGGCACTAGCTCCTTATTTCTCTCTTCTACTCCATTAATTTAAGAAAAATGAGAAACTGCAAATAAAAAAAGTAACAACAAAGAAAAACAATTAGCCAAATGGACTGAATCTGGGAAATTCTCCCTGCATGTATTTCTCACTGGATTTTTAATAGCCGTCATTTCAAATCATTAGATTGTTGTATGTTCTACACTCAATATTAAACTTTAACTTGTGATCATTCACTTCCTTACCCTCATAGCATTCTTCTATTCCCTACTCAGGGCCCTGAACAACAGGTGTCTAAGGTGTCTGGAAGCATGATTAACATCCTCTATAATTTATTTGTCTACTTTGTAGCTGAGGCTTCAGTGAAACTGTCACTCAGATCCACTTGGTGGTTCCTAGAGAGCATTTCTGACAATCAACCTCACCAAAACCAAGTGTCTCCCTTGGAGTGTGATGAATACTATGTAAGAGAGCCTATTCCTTTCTACATCCTAGATATAAAAACTTAAAAATAAAAAAAAAAATCCCACCCTGAAGGATTTAGGCAGAATTCAGTTATAGCTGAACGGCAAATCTTAAGGTGTAATTCCAGCTATGCCACTGCCAGCCCTGCAGGTTCCAAAAAAACCCCAATAACATGCCTGGTTGCCTTGTCTCTATACACATTCCCAGGAAACTCCACAATGGCACATGTTTTACAAATTCATGCCAAGTTGTCTCCATTCCAGTAGTCAGGCCATCACATTAGTGATGGTTTCTGCACAAGGGAAAAGGCCACATCCCTCAAAGCCAAGTAAGGCACCGCACTGATGTGTCTCCAGACACTTCCGAGCAGCTTGCTCTCACAGCCAGCTCCAAGCAGAGCAATCCCTCTGCACTGCCTGTGACCACCCGGCCCTGCCTCTGCTCCCTGAGGATCCTGGCACAGATGATGCTGACAGATTAKGCCAATTTTGCACCATTACTATTTGTCTCCTTTCAAAATGCTCTGCTTAGAGTTTAGCCAAAGACAAGGCAGTAGCCTCAATGCTCCTCAGATCTCCTACTATGCAGAGATTTTGCTTTTCATAATGTTGTGGTTTAAGGTTTCTCCTTTTGTTTCCTTTCTTKGGGGATTTTTCTTTCCCATTTTCTTGCTGGGATACACTGATTGCCAAGTCATTCTTTTCATGGCTGGGCAATTGGGGAAGACAAAAAGAACCTACAACCCACCCAAGGGATCTCCCTGGGCACTCCTCCTGCCTTGCAGTTTTTTTATCCCTCTCTTTGGAGAGAGGGAAGTTTTTCCTGGGAGTTTTGGGCTTGGGGAGGATGCCTGTGTGTCGGGGGACGGGGGGGTAGCTTCACTTCTTGCCCTGTTTGGCTCAGGGGAGGACGGTGGACCTGCTGCCTGCGGGGGACAGCTAGCCTGCTCTTTTCTGCAGAGCCCAGCATCTCAGCTCGTTGGTTCCTGTTTGCTGCACTGTGATCCTCTGCCCCTGTGCCTTGCCGGGGACCCCTGAGATTCCAGCAGCGGTGGCTGAGTTCTGCTGCATCCTCTCTTGTAGCCACAGGATTCTTCTTGTCTCTTTGCTCATCTGGMSGTCCTGGGGTTTCTTGCTGTCCAGAGGAGCAGCGAGATCAGCATTTCYRCTGTGAGTTTGCAGAGGMACTTTTCTCCATCCACCTCTGCCAGTTTGTGTCCACCATTGGCCACTGGGAGATCTGAACCAGCGAGGACCCCCCCGCCACAGCGCCCCCTGCAGCCACCGGGGAATCATCACACCTACCCTGCCTGGCTGGGAGCCAACAGCGCCCCTGCTGACTGGGACTGTAACTGTACGAAAGGGGAGGGTGTGTCTCTGTAAGGCTGTCACTGGGTTTCTGGCTGGGTTGGTTGTTGCTATTGTTGTTGTTACTTGTTTCACCTTGTTATACATATTGGTAAAAACTGTTATTCCCTTTACCCATATTCTTGCCTGAAAGACCGTGATTTTCAAAGCTATAATAATTCAGAGGGAAGGGGGGTTACATCTACCCCTCCAAGGGGGGGGGGGGGGGGGGGGGGGGGGGCTGCGCGCGCCGGCGGGGGGGGGGGGGGGGGGGGGGGGGGGGGTGGTCCCTGCCCTCATTGGCAAACACCTGTCTTTCAAACCAAAACACTTATCAAATTCAGACAGTTATTTGAGGGACTCAGCTTAATATTTCAAAGTTCTGTTAAAGTAGCAGAAACATAGACTCTAACTAAATATAAGAGCTTTTTTCTGTGTGTTGAAGTACTTCTGAGTATTAAGACGCCACTGCTTACTATTACGTATTTCTGTCAAAGCACTTACAAAGCCCCACTCTTCTCTTCAGAAGCAATGACAGTCATTAATTGTCCTTATCCTTCCAACACACCCACAAAATAAAAAAAAAATGTTTTCTTTTTTTCCCATGGAACTCAGACTTTGCAAATACAGGTCGGGACCCTTCATTTTCTTGGACTGAAAAACCCTCATGCCTTTGACGATTGAGGCTTAAGCTAAATAATGTCCACCACTGCAGCATTACATCTTGCTGCCTCACAAAATTCCTACTTTGCTTCAGCTTCCAAAAGATCCAAACAATGCATTGGAGCAGGTARGCACCTGCTGCCAGGATCCACACATGACATTTAGACAGGAAGAGATATCACCTACACCAGTCAAAAAAGTGACACACCTGCTGAGAGTTCCTGTAAATTCATCTCGATGCCCAGTTTGTGTAGAAGGCCGTTTACACCATGTACATTCATTTAATTGTGGCGACGCCAGAACTGAAAAGGGCTGTTGATTCCCTCTGCATGAACTTTGGACAGAGGCAGCGAGCATGCAGGATTTCCTCACCCATGCACCGAGGGACATTTGCTACTAACCTGCTTATGGTGAGGTCATACTCCTGGAAGGAAGTCCTGCATTATTTTGTATTCTTGACCATCTTTTTCCTTGCCTTAAAGGAGCTTTTTTCCTCCTTTGGCCTCCACCCCTGATTTCTCTGTTGAAAGAGAGATGACAGCCCTCCCTGCCTTTGCTTGGTCCTGCCAGTCATCATCTTCTGTCAATTCCTTGCTGAAGCTCTTATACCCCATGGGAATACACACTTCTCCAGTTGTTCCCAAATGCAAAAAAGGCCACAAATCACAGCAATTAACAATGTCAGCTAGCTTTCACTTCTCTTTTGGCCTAAACATTGCTGGAGATCAACCACTGTTGCAGTTCTAGGAAATATTTTGAACAAGTTATTTTCTTTCTTTTTGACTATCTGTTTTCCTGTGTCTCTGTTGTAAGACCAAATAAATTTGCAATTAATAAATGAACCAGATTATTGGTACCAGGTGTGATTTTCTTGCCAATGGAAACATGCTTTAGGGCAGAGGTAGCAAGGTCCATGCGGCAGAAAATTATCACTAACTCTCATTAACACATAGTACAAGTATGTCAAAGATTCAACAATTATTATTCTGGGTCCCTAATAATTTACCCAACTGTTAAGAACTGAATACTGCAGCTGCTTTTTCCCTTAGAACACTCTAAATATTTCTCAGATTTAAACCACCAGGACCACATTAAATAAACAATGTAATTTCCCTGTTTCAACTTCTCTGCCTTTCTCTGCCCTTCCTCATCCATGATTAAATTTTCACCTCCAAAGCACAAAGCAGWTACAGAATCCTCTATCCCTATTCCACAGCACACCATCTTTGGAACTTAAATTTCTGTTTCTTTGGATTTTACATTTCTAAAGACTTTTTTAACCAGAGATTTTAAACATGGCATTCTTTTAAAGACCACAATACACATCTGCTGGTATGAAGTCATCAAGCTTTCTTCTTCATTTAGTACCCAGTCCRATCTGTTTTACAAATTAAGTTTATGAATAAAGATGACTGGTATCTCTCAGGTGACCTGTTGATCAGGTGAGCACAATTTCTAATGAGTCAGAAATTGTCAGGAATTTGCCTCAAACACAGCAATTAAGTTGAAACTAATGTATCTTTTCAAAAGYCAAAATTTTTGCTATGTGGTTTCCAAACCAAAGTTTTGAAACTTGCTTTGAAGCTTGTTGAAGTTTAAGTAAAATGAAGATTAAAATGAAACTCCATGCAGAATATAAGATTATTTTGTTTTGGCCACACGAAATGCTTAACCAAACAATATTTCAAATAAAATKAACTGGCTGGGCTTTTTAATTGGCCATTAGTTTTGGTCCAAAGCATTTTAATACAAAAATAACAGTTAAATAGAAAATTAATTGAAAATCCTCAGTACATTATTTCACATTTCTTTTTTACAAAGAGCAATTTCTGCTAGCATCTAGAGAATTAAAAAGTCTTTGGAAAAACACACAGGAAACACTTTCGAAATTGAATCATTCCAGCATGAGGGTAATAAAAAAATAAGTTGGTGCCTCAACCCTTGTGAAAGGACGTGAAAACAAACCAGTACAGCTTAATAGAGATTATTTATTTATGTGCATACAATGTATGTAGATAAATAATCTAGTAAATGGAGCACTTCTAATTCGATTCAAGCCTGGAAATGCTTTTCATCACAGACCTAAGTCTCAAACACAGAGATAGAATCTTAAAGGAGAAAAATCTAACTATAAAATATATGAAACACAATTACTTGATCATTCAACTGTATTTTATTTGTGTATGGTATGCATAAGGTATGGAAAAATGAAGAGTCACTTGTAACAGACATTGCACACTTCTAATAGAAGAGTATTGGACTGAAAGGCGTTTTGTGAAGGGAAGGTTTGCAACACAGTGAAGTTATTTTGTTTTGAGCACATGACCTMGACTTTTGAGCACATGATTTCGACTAGTACGTAAGAACAACTTTATAGAATAAGATTTCCGAGTTGAGCTTTCTCTCTTTCCTGTTATGTCTGTTCCAAGTCTTAATGTTCTTACTTTAGCTCCCACACTCWTCACAGGATGAAGAGTTATTTATGTACAATACTCTGAAAGGCACCTCAATCAGCATGACACTTTTGTATTTATTTGTAAGATATCACTTGCACAAATTGAAGTGAGAGTGGGGAGCATACAGTGAACACAAGTCATCAAGAATAATAATTGTAAAAGAGGAAAAACAGAGTCTGGCATATGAAAGTTTCCTCATTACTCCTTAGTATATTTATAATCAACCGATTTCCTATCACATTTTCCAGCTCTGTAAAATAAGACCTGTACATCATCCCAGAGTTTGTTTGTAAGACATACAATTCCAAGTAGCCATGCTTAAAGGAATTTCATCAACTATTTTATACTGTGGCATGTATGGGGAGTCACCAGACACAAATTGTTTCTTTGCCAGGACAATACTTCCAGTTTTTGATAATGATGATTTTGACCAGCTTCTAGGCAAAGCTACGACCGGTTACATCCACATTCAGTTYCTTTGCCAGTGATCTCTCCAAGTCACAGGGTACACCAATGAAAACCTTGGGTATCCTGCACAAAACCTCCAGAGGTATCACTTCCCCCACAGTCAGTATTACACTATGCATACAGACACTTACACACAGCTTTGCAAAACTTWATCAGCCAGCTTTATCCATAGGAAAGTAACTTTACCCCTTTTGCAGACAAGGTGTCCATCTGCCTGGGAACTCTCCTGTTTCTCGAAGCTGCCTGTGAATTCCATGCTGATGAGGCTCAATAGAAGTAGAGTTTTGCACCAGTAGCACCCATGACCAAGACAGAAGCAGTGACATTCAGAAGCAGCAGGCAGCTCTTCATTCACAGGAGCACCGTCCCTGTCTCAGCATCTCACTGATACTTTATGATGGGTTCCTCTCTTTGTCCTCCTTTCTTAGTGTTTAGGGAAGAAAGAAATGAAGAAAAATAAAGTCCAGAGGAAGAACTTACACCAGGATATCACTTCTCTTGCTGCACCATACCACCAGTGTTATCATGGCACATGTCAACATGACTGGGATCAAGATCAGTGTTATAAGAATTTCATGTGGTGGATCTTCCCAGTGAACCTTTTCCGAAGTACAGTTTGAAAAGAATTGTTTATGAATTCCAGTGATAAAGCCTTCTGCAAGGGGGTTTGGCCAAAAGCAACTTGCATTGTTGGCTTCACGTTCCGTGCACTGAGTAAAGTTGTCGTAATACCTGGGAGAAGAAGTAAATTAGAAGAAGTTTAAATGGAACGTATATGCATATTGCACTTAGAGAAAGGTATGGAGAGGGCCACACAAAATCCCTAAAAGTGCGTTTATTGTGCAGATGCTCTGCTGGGGTACCAAATACTACACAGTGAGACGGCAGGGGAACTGACTTACATGTACTAACGCAACTGAGAGACTTCATGTGAAATTCTGAGGTCCTGGAGGGATAATGGTCATACCCTTGTCTTTCAAACCTCCTAACACCACTTAAGTAGAARTAGAATTCCCTCACTAGACATCTACAGATTCCGTAAAAAACATGCACACAAATGTATCAAGAACAGGACATTTTGAACAAAATATGGTTAATTCATGCCTCAACTGCCATGATGTTGTGGTGAAAATTATGATGCTACACTGCATGCAGTAAGGTTGAACCAGAACATGCAGTACTGTGTAAAAATTTTGGTTCTGTTTCTCACCCTCAGGCAGTGAGAAAATAACTGGAAAATAAACACACAGAAAATTAGTTTTGACAAAATCTCTCTTTTCTCTGTCTCCAGCAAATGACCAAAAGGGAAAAAATAAATAAATAATTTATAATTACATGTTTGAAATGCTTATGAAAGGCTGGGAACTCCCTGTAATAATTAACATTTGATTTCAATGCTGCATGTGCTGAAATTTACCTGCCAATAAATAACTTCTATGTACAAAATTGGCTACCCCTCAGGAAAAAAAAAGGAAACAATAAGCCTAAATGAGTAATCACATGGATTTTGTGGTCTTATTATAAGCCAAATAAATTCGGGAAGTGGATGGATATGGGGGAGGAGATTGGAAATTAAGAAGACAAGGAGCATCTGGTCAGTGCATGAACAGGGCAAGAAATAAGGAAGCTGAATGATTGTCTGTTGCATTTCTTTTAGTCCTTCGTGACTCAACAAACTCTCTTCAAAGGGGAATTAAAAATAGAAAGSAGAGAGCAAGAAACCACATGATACCTCCAGGGACAGCATCCTGTATTATTATTACACAGCTAAAGACCCTACTCTCCCTTACAGTCCRTATAAATATGGTAACTCCTGATGAATGACTCGTTCTGACATCAAGCCCTACAGGGGACTAATGTTAACTCAATCCTTTGCTGTGAAGCAGAGGAGAGATATTCAGCTTTGGGCCAAGAATGAAGTCTGCTGTCTGCTGTTTGTCTGTCAGGGGAAATATCTGTTTGCCCATGCTACAAGCACAAGTTAGGAACGCAGCCTGCCACACATCTAAATTCACAGGGCTGTGTTCACAGATGAAACAGACTCACAGAAACACCCTTCTACAAGCTCCTTGCAGTTCTCATTCTCAAGGGGTTTGAGCCAATACTGCTTCATTCATAAGCAAATGTACTGGACAATCTAACAAAGCCAAACTCTGGCATGAATACGCTTATACGCACAATGTATGTATATTTTAAGCAAAGTGACTGAAAAGGAAGCTTTTGTGACATCAGCAGCCACAGAAAAACAACAGGAAATAAGATAAAAATAAAATACAAATATCATCTGTTTGCTATTTTAACAGTGTCATTCTTCTTTGTGACCTGATGGCATCCATTCTTTATGTCCTTGGACTAAATTAGAAGCTGGAGATGTCTAGCTGAATATGGGAGGAGGTGCTGAGCATAACAGAGGAGCTGAGCATAACACATCTAAAGGCAGTGCTACAAGGGTCAGCGGGCTACAGCTGCCCAGACAGTTCATTGCTCCACCTGGCACGGACACCAGGCAAGGCTCCAGAGTGCTGGGCTCTGCTCCAGCCTGTTCTGGACCATGCTCTCATTGTGCCATCAATGGCTGCTGTTACAGCCACCTCAGTAAGAAAACCAACAATAAATCCAGGTGATTTCAGCATAAAAGTACCCTAAACTCAAAGCTTTGACAGTGTAATTTCTTTTCCCTTGGTTTAAAATCATATAGAGAATTCACTGTTTACCAAGAATTCTGTAGATTTTTTTTTTCCTAAATGTTAGATGGTATAAACAAAAATATTTCCCACTAACTTTTGATTTCAAATACAACATAGTTAGAAAAAGCTGTTTAGTCTTGCCAAAAGGCCAGATAAAAATACCTTGGGAGCTATATTGTATTTGAAATACTGAATGCCTAGGAGCCAAAACAGAATAAAAATGTAATCTTGATAGTTGGAATTCCTTACAATTTTCCCTTAAAATGCTCTCATGGAAAAGAAAAAAAAAAGGAAAAAAAGCCACCTACACTATAACTTTTTGTTTACACGATTGTGAGAATGTAAATAAAGGAAAATCTCAACTATCAGAGAATTGCATGTCAGAAAAGCTGAATTCACTTAAAATTTATGTAGCTTAGTAATTTAGACTTTACGCACTGCAACAGAAAGTTCATTAAAAAAAAAAAWMATATCCTCCATATGGCACTGTGGAATAGCTGCCTCAAAAGGGAGCAACTGCATCCCCATTACTGCAGCACGGGTGTTTTGTAGTTGGTCAATTGGTTTGCAAGTTGTTGGGCTTTTTAAAGAGGGAGATAGAGGTTAAGAGATATTTAATTCCAGATCAATTCTCCTATGCTTAATTTTTTATGCCTTACATAATTCTATTTATTTAAATGGTAAAGGCTGGTGTAGGAAACCTTTCATTCTGCATAATAAAATGGCTGTCGCAAAGAMACCTTGGCCTCTGACTGGAAAGGCTTCAAGAGAAGTGCATTAAAGTCACACAGCTTGTGAGAGGAAAGATAAAGAAATAATAGTTTCTAGTTATCCTCAGAACAAGTAGTAGGAGCAMACACTGGAGCTCAAGCTCCTCATCCCTTGGATTTAAGACAGTGCGGGAATGTTCTCATTCTTTGTGCTGAATCACATTTTCATCTCTTCCAGGCTAGCTACAAAGAACCCAGGTAGTACTCAGGAAAGGAATATTCACTGGGGCCAGGTCACAAGCTTTGTGACAAATGGGCTGAAGAGTTACTGGGTTTCAACTCAGCTGAGTAGCCCAATACAAAAGAAACAAAATCTAAGCATAGTCTGAGCAGCAAAATTCATATAAAGATGTGCTTTACCATGATACGCTCAGGACAACTGTAATTTCTATTGAGGAACCAACTGCTTGGTAATACTGCACATTATTGAAACTACTTTCAGACAACACGAGAAACAATTCCTTCGAGAGCAATCTCTGAACTATAACAAATTTATCATGAAAGACTATTTTCAAAATTCTAGAACAATACTTCATTTTCAGAACACACACACTTTTTCTTCTGCACTTTACGTTTCCACTAAACCAGATAATAACAACCATTTGGCTGGGTTTTTTGTTAAACTGTGGAAAATTTTATTTTGTATTTTACCCATGAGAACACATATTTTTACGTATTACCTATAACCAAGAACCTGGACAGCAGGCAGTTATAATGAGGAATGGTGGTGGACAGTACAATTTTACAGCAAAAATTTTCAATGGTGGTGAATGGCTATTGCCTAAATGGAACAGTGTTTCATGGAGTGTCCACTCAACTAGTTAAGCAGACAGCTAGGTTTATTACATCTCAGCCATCTCAGGGTWCACAGTTGCCCGTCACTCAAGGCACTTCTCAGTCTAAGTGTAGGCTTGAATCTCATCCATAGTTTCCCACAACTCCAGGGAGAAATACGGTAAATTCTTGTTCTTTCTTCCTCAACATCCCTGCATAGGAAAACTGCAGAGATGATTGGTCTACAAAAAACACAAAACCCACAACTCCCTCCTCTAAATTTTCATGAGAACAAGAAAACAAACAGATATTTTAATTAAAAGGTTTAACAGATAAGCATTTTCCAAAGCAAAATTGTTATTTGAAAGACTCCCAAACCATTCTCAAACAGCTAAATGCCACATATATGCTACTTAAGACAAACATTTGAGGGCATTTTCTGAATGCAGCCAGTAGACCCACTGTCAGTTCCAACAGGAGAATTCTTCCACCTCTCCACCACTCATGGATAGACCACGACAGAGACACTCAGMACACAAGCAGTCAGGAATGTTTTGCAGTTGCCTAATGAGGAAGGCCGGGAATTAAAAAACAAACCACCCACTACCCCATTTTAAGGAAATCAGCTTCATGATTACTGATATAGTTACAGAAGCGTAGTGCAAGATTCATATAATACATTGCGAATAATTTTTGTTGGTTTGAGTCCACTAAGTACTCAGAGAATACAGTGAAAATTCTCTCTAGCACAATTGGGCAATCTAGAGGCACTGTTCCAGGACACTACAAGTCACGTGGTGCATTTTTATAAATGCGCTTTAAAACTAGTTGCTTCCCTCTAGATGGTTCAACCAAAAATTTCTTAATAGACAGTCACATAATAAATCAAATTATCATCCTTGTAACCTCCACCCAGCCTRGAATACAAAATGCTGAAGTAATAATATAATTAAAAAGAAATATCATATGATGAGAAAGGCTTTTCTTATAGCATTTCCAAATGAAGTGGAGGCAGGAAGTACCAAGCAACCTCACAAAGATAAAAAGCCTATTTTTATGTGAGATGCAGCCAGAATGTATAGAACTTCGGGGTATAACTGTCTGGATGAACTTCAAATAAGAATCCAAACCTTAAGATGATAATTTCCTGAGGTTTCACTATCATTTAAAAGGATAGCTCTAGTTTTATAGTGGGCTATGAGCCTACAGATATGGTGGAATATTTCTGTGATTTTCTCACTCACCTACTTTCCAAAGAGTCTGTATCTCACATTCCTTTAACATTCCTTCTGCCAAGRTGAGTATTCTCACAGTCACATTTTTACCTCCCTAATCAGATCAGATCTAATTTTTGCAGCTTCAATACAGAATTCAGCCTGAAGAAAATAATGTGCAACAAAAACATAACAAAGGAAATGAACGGAGGAGGGGAGAAACTAGTTTAATAACATTATAAAGTATAGTTTACTCTCATGCCACTAAATAATGGATATTGCGACAG